TTACAAATGGCAGGATTGCCTTCTTTTTTTTAGTTGCTTTTAATGTAAATGCTATGAAAACATTAATTCAATATCTTTAAAACTATTTTTTAATTAGCTAAGGAAGAAAGAGAAAGCAAAGCCAGAAAAAGCTGCCTACCAAAATAGATTGAGAAGAGAAAACAGTCCACAAGCAGTTACTAACTGCTGACTGTGCCAGGCTGGGGTTGGGGTGGGGACTATAAGTGTGACTAATACAGTGTATATTCTCAGGTACTTCATTCTGCAGGAGGACACATGTCCATCCACAGAGAGAATCACAGGCCATCATCCCAAGATCCTAAAGAAGCAAAGAGCCTCTACAAAGACAGTGAAGAACAGTCAAGTTTGACCACCAAAGGTCAACTGAGCCAGACATGGGAGCTCAGTCTCCTCCAGTGACGGTGGGACAGTATCATGGTGGCCTGCAACAGTTTTGCAGACTAAAGTGAAATTAGGGGACAAGTTGGTTGGGGATGCCCCATTCTTGAGGGGTTCCCCTGGTAAGCATAAGGGGGAATCCCTATGAATATGGTGGAACCCCAACAGTAAATATAGGGGCTAGAGGGGAGAAGAGATCCCTGCTTGCTAGTTGATGACTGGAAGGGGTGGGGGAATTCTTAAAAATTCCATTTACAGAATAGGAGATCCCCTTCTGGTACTCAAAGTTCCCTTAGATGCGGTATTCTGAGACATGTGTGGTTACTATCCTCTTGAACTTTGTTTCTGATTCCATCTTCTTTCAGGGTTTAGAAGAAGACAACTGGAAAAAAAAAAATATATATATATATATATAATTATATATATATTATTATATATATATATAACGATAGAAGTATAAATACACACACACAACATACCACACAAGCATAGTGTTTGGTTGTTAGGAGTTCAGTGGTCTCTGAATTTATGTCATTTATTTGTACCACTGAAATCAAATTGTTGTTCATTCCTAATTAGTCCATATTTAAACATAATTTCATCCTGGCCAGTGTGGCTCAGTGGTTGAGCATCGACCCATGCACCAAGAGGTAGCCGGTTCGATTCCTGGTCAGGGCACGTGTACAGGTTGTGCGTCCAATCCTCTGTGGGGGGCATGCAGGAGGTGGCCAACAGATGTTCTCTCTCATTGATGTTTCTATCTCTCCTTCTTTCTTCCTCTCTCTCTAAAATCAATAAAGAAAAAAAAATTAAACATAATTCCAGATGGAAGACAATGTAAGGTAAGACATACATGTGAGAAAAATTCACTCCTGAAACAATGCCATTTTAGATTCCAACATTTTGGATAATTCTGGTGCCACCAGAAAACAAAAATAATAATACTAGCATAAACTTATTTAGTGCCTATTATGTACTAGATATACAAGATGAAAAAAAGTGAAGCTATGAATTTAACAGTTTTGGAATTTAACAGAAAACCACCTTTGAAGCTGAAATTAAAATTCTCAAATGCATTTTCACTTCCCATCACTTTAAACCTAGATAAGCAATTAATGTAAATCTTCCCTCTTTATGAGGGAAGCACTGCTGGTTAAAATATAATAAACAATGCATTTATTTGCAAAGTACCAGGAATTTAAAAACTACATTAAGGCCCTGGCCGGTTTGGCTCAACGGCTGGAGCGTTGGCCTGCGGACCAGAAGAGTCCTGGGTTCGGTTCCTGCTAGGGGCACATACCCCCCAAAAATTAAAAAAATTAAAAATGAATAAAAAAATAAAAAATGTATTAAGTACAAAGCACAGTATTATTATTACATTCTTCCATATATTCCATGGAAGCACATATTAAATGTATCCCTGCAGGCAGAATCCTCTCATTTCTCCAAGGTACAAATTAGGACATCAGAGATTCCATGCTCTAAACTTCCCAACTATTAACAGAAAGCAGGACTAAATTTTTTTAAAAAATCCACCAATTATACCAATCTGAGAATCTATATTGGAATTTCAAGCCGATGATCATTGGTGGCCAGGTGGCAATATGGATAGGTGACTACGATCATTACTGGAAGAAAAACTCAAAGCCAAAATCTTTTTTATGGCAGGTTAGTAACATCATTCTTTACATTAAAATTAAATTTCATCTATTATATATATACTAAAATTGCAGTGAATCAAGTGGAAGTTGCTTTGAGTAAATGTATAGTCAATAGTAGAGTCTGGCTGTGCCTGTATGTGTGTAATCCAATAAAAAATATTAAGATAAATGGTATTTTATAATGCCATGTCCATGAAAATCTGTTTTTAAAAAAATAAATAATAAATAAAATTCTTTATTGATTTTAGAGGGAGAGGAAGGGAGAGGGAGGAGAGAGAAGCACTGATGAGAGAGAACATCGATTGGCCACCTCCTACATGCCCCTCACTGGGGATCGGGCCCACAACCTGCGCATGTGTGCCCTGATCTGAAATTGAACCGGCGACCTCTTGGTGCATGGGTCAACGCTCAACCACTGAGCCACACCAGCCGGGTGAAAATCTGTTCTTTAAAGTTAATCTTGAAATCATACCATATTCCATATTCCACATTATATATTCAAAGCTTTAAATACTGTTATTTTAAGCCCTGGCTGGTGTGGCTCAGTTGGTTGGGCATAGTCCTGAGCACTGAAGGGTTGCCCGTTCACTTTCAGTCAGGGCACACACCACAGTTGCAGGCTAGATCCTACGGGATTCCCAGGTGGGGGTAAGGGGTGTGGGAAGCAGCCCATGGATGTATGTTTCTCTCTCTACCTTTCCCTTTCTCTCTGTCAAAAAATCAATAAAATTTTTTTTAAAAATACTGTTATTTTATAAACAAATTTCTTAAGAGAGAAGAATCATAAAACAAGAGGGCCTAAATATGGTAACACATGCTCTTTATAGAACATATATAACTTTCCATTAATATATAATATAGAAGGTTAAAACCTCTAATACTAGATAAACTGTAACTGCAGAGTCCATATGTATGTCTCATTTTTTCTATGCACATCCTAGTATACATATATTAATGTAAAAATGTAAATAAATATCCTTTTCCCACTGAATAATGATCTTGAATATATTTTATATTAGTTTGTAATTAAATTTTTAATATATTTCTTAAAAGAGTAAAACACCCCTTCATAGTTTGAGAACATCATTTTTACCGGAAAGAGGTTTGAATAAAAGTAATTTAAGATTTATTTTACATTTAAAATTAGTAAAATGAGTCTTAACACTTTAGAACTTGCTAAATTTAGCATATTAAAAACTTAAAAATCAGAGTAAGTGGATGAACAAAATAGTACCAGAGACGCAGAAGGATCAGAGGGGTGGGAAGAGATAAACCAAAGAACTTATATGCATATATACATAACCAATGGACACAGACAACAAACAGTATTGTGAAAGGGGAGGATTGGACGCAGAGAGGAGGGTGTCAATGGGGGGAAAAGGAGAAACATCTGTAACAAAAATACATCAATTAATAATAAAATATTTTTAAAAAATCAGTATGAGGGCTCCAAACTGGAAAATCTTTTTGTGAAAAATTCGACTAAGATGACGAGTTTCATTTCCAGCCTAATCTGTTCTTCTAATCATTATTAATGCCATATGCAAATAAACTGTTAAAAAGTAAGTCTTAGAAAGGGATTCTTGTGTCTGAATAAACAGTGATCAGAACCCCACACGACGTCCGTGTGAGCAGACTCCTCCCCACTCCTGGGGAAAACCCTGCCTAATATTTATAACGTTATGACATAGTGTAATACTCACAAGGTGGTTGTAGAAGTATAAACATCACTGCAGTTATCTGATTGGCTGCTGGTGATGTAACACCCATGTCAATACTTCCCAGTGAACGCACGTGTTCGACCTTTTATTTAAATTTCCATTTCATCACAGCAATAAGACACTCGGGGCGGTGCATTTTCAGTAAAACGATTGTCGCCCGGGGCCCGAGGTGCTGCCTGGCACACGCGAAGCGTCGCAGCGGGAGGTGTCCGCGGTTGGAACCTCCACCCGCGAAAGACACCGCCCGGGCCAGCCTTTGTCAAGGAGCAAAATAAAATAAGTTCACTTCCTCGGGCGCCGCCACCAGCCCCCAGCAAATGCCAGGGCCGGAGCGCCGCTCCCACCGCTCCCACAGTCATTTCCAAAGTCCCAGGTGCACGCGCGGCGAGAGAAGGAAAATGAGCGTCCTGGGCGCGGGTAGGTGCGTGCGGGCAGCGGGGAGGCGGCCAGCCCCTGACACTCGCCAGCTGTCTGTCCCCGCGGAGCCCGGCCCCGGCTGCACACGCCCGCCCCTCAGGAGACCCTGGCCCGCCGCCCTGCCCCGCGCCCCCGGCCCCCGGCCCCCGGCCCGCCCTCCCCGCCGCCGCCCCCACCCCGCCCCGCCCGGGTCCCGCGCCCCCACCCCAGCGGCCCGGCCCCAAGCCCAGCCCCCTCCCCGCCCGGCCCCCACCCTTTCCCCCTCCAGCGGTGGCTGCTACCCCGGTGCATTGTGGGCGCACGGTCCGTTGTTCATTTGCCATTCGACCTCCGCCGGGGCCTGGTCGGACGGAAACGCTCCGCCGGCTTCATTGTCGGGCGTTATGTGGCCGAGCCCGGCGCTCTAAAGAGCCTCGCGCCCCCAGCGCCTCGGGACCGGCGGCGGCGGGCTCGGCGGGCGGCGCGCCGGGCGGGCTCTCGGCTCGGAGGTCGGCGGCGTCCGGAGGGGCAGCGAGGGGCGCCCGCACTCCGCCCAACTTCCAAGGCCGCACGCGCCCGCCCGCTCCTCGCCTCCCCGCCGCCTGTTCTCCGCGCGGGACGCGGTCCGGAGCGCGGCGGGGCGGGGGCGCAGGACGCGGAGGCGGCGACCCGGCGGCGGCGGACGCGTGAGGCGGCCCCGGCAGCGAGCGCGGGCCGGGCGGGAGGGCGAGGCCGGGCCCCGCGAGACCGGAGCGCGGGGAGCGCGCGGGACGCGGCCCGAGGCCGGCGCGAGCCGGGCGGCAGGGAGGCGGCGGCGCGCGCCATGTCGTTCAGCGAGATGAACCGCAGGACGCTGGCGTTCCGAGGAGGCGGGCTGCTCACCGGCGGCGGCTCCGCGAACAATAACGCCGGCGGGGAGGCCTCGGCTTGGCCCCAGCAGCCCCCGCTGCGACAGCCCCCGCCGCCTGCGCCGCAGCAGCTCAACGGGCGGGGGGCGGACGAGGAAGCGGAATTGGAGGGCCCGGAGCCCCAGGACCCGGAGGCCTCCGCCGGCGCGGCCGCCGAGGAGCCGCAGGAGCCGCCGCTGCCCCCGGACGCGGGCGGCCCCAACTCGCTGGGCGGCGGCGGCGCCGGCGCGGGGGGCCCCCTGCTCGCGGAGAGGAACCGTCGGACCCTGGCCTTTCGCGGCGGCGGCGGCGGCGGCGGTCTCGGCAACAATGGCAGCAGCCGCGGCCGGCCCGACCCCCCAGCGTGGCCCCCAAGGCATTTCAATGGGCGAGGGCCGGCGGCGGCGGAGCTGGAGCTGGACGCGCTGGAAGGGAAGGACTCGGTGCCGGACGGCGCGTCCCTGAGCGACAGCACCGAGGACGACGAGGAGGGGGCGAGCCTGGGCGACGGCAGCGGGGCGGAAGGCGGCGGCGGCAGCAGCCGGCGGTCGGGCGGCGATGGTGGGGACGAGGCGGAGGGCGGCGGCGCGGGGGCCTGCGACGGCGAGACTGTCCAGCACTTCCCGCTCGCGCGGCCCAAGTCCCTGATGCAGAAGCTCCAGTGCTCCTTCCAGACTGCGTGGCTCAAAGATTTCCCCTGGCTGAGGTATTCCAAGGACACCGGTCTTATGTCTTGCGGCTGGTGCCAGAAGACCCCCGAGGACGGCGGCAGCGGGGACCTTCCGTCTGCTGGGCACGACGAGCTGTCGCGAGGGACCCGCAACTACAAGAAAACCCTCCTCCTGAGGCACCACGTCTCTACCGAGCACAAACTCCACGAAGCCAACGCCCAGGTACAGTATATGCTGTGCCCCTGCCCTTTCAGGTCCTTTAGGGAAAGGGACCTGTAAAGCCCAGATGCCGCTTTCCTTGGGGAAGCATCGTTTCAGTCCGGAGAGGTGCGGGCAACTTGTGCGTGGGAGGTTAGAAAGCCTGGGAACAAGTTCTCAGAAGTTGTCTGTGTTGGGGGAAGGACGAGGGAATGACAATTTACTAATCGTAGCGCTGCATTTGTTTCATTTGTCACGACTGAGGTTTCTTTGCCCATCGGGTTGAATAAAAAAGAACTTCATAAAGCAAGGTTGAAGGATTTAACCCTAAAAGGTTGACTTTGCGGTTAAAAATTTTTATTGCCTGTGATTTTTGAAAAGCTCCTTTAGGTTCATAGTCTTTTAGCATGCTGGCGGAAGCCAAATCTAGCAACTCTTTGAAGAATGAATTAAACAATTTCCTTAACCTTTGACGCTACCCTTTTTAGGAACACATCCAGCCAAGAAAATTCTTTATATCAGAATAATTTGAAATATGAGAGCAGTATGTAAATGTAGTGGAAGGTATTTGCTTAACACTCCTTTCTCTTGTGAGTAATTTTACTAAATTCATCTCCTTTGAACTTGTTGAACTTTGCTTTTGGTAAATTATTGTAGTTTTTACCTGTTTCCTTTGACTAGGATTTCTGTCTTGAGATTTTTATATAGTCTGCTTTTTCCAAAGGTTGATTTGGATTGGTAGAATATCTATTTACCAAACTTCTTGAAATCAAGTCCTTAGTTAAAAAACAAGTAAGCTGCATGTTAGTTAGTTCTTCATTTTTATTTTATTGTTTACATTCTAGAGAGAGTAGTCTTTACCATTTTGATAAACCCCTTTCAAGCCTAGCAGATTTGGGTCATCTCTCCAAGACTTTTTAGACAACCTGTGGTGGAATTCATTTTTTTGTACTGGTAGCCAGTTATTTGATTTAGAAAGTGGCTTGCAGAAATTAGTTCCTCTGTGTTTATTGGAGTGATCTTGCTGCTCAGAACACTTATACTAGAATTAAGTAGGCAGTATCTAATAACCCCACAGCCCAGAAGCCTCTCAGAAGTTAAGGCTTGAACTTTAAAACAGGTTTATTTTTCCCAGTGGACGGTGGCAATAGTTTTTGCACAAATTTTAGCTACCCTGGCCCTAGAAGGAAGGTTATTTAAAGATATAAGGCCCATAAAGGTTAAGTAAATTGTCCTGAGTCTTAGAGCCCTTGGTGACAACTGAGACTAGAGCCTGTAAGGAATGTTGTAATGGGAAAAGAATGGGTTTTGTAGTAAATCTGGGTTCGAATCTCACCTTTAAGCAATTATCTTTGTGAGCTTGGGGAGTGGAGTGAAATAGAACATTTCCTTGTCTTCCATATGCCTAATAACCCATTTACCTTAACTCTGCAAAATAACAATTTTGCTCTCATTTTACAGAAGAGGAGTCTGAGGCTTTAAAGGGTTAAGTGATGGATTTCTGAAGTTAATTAGTAGAATGATGGAGGTGGGTGACTTGTGAAAATGAAAGTAGACTTTTCTAAATAATGGTAGGTTGGTTATTCAGAAAAATCAAAAAAGACATTTAGAATGAATTTTCTTAATATACAGTGGACCAGTTACTCCTCTTATCAGCATAGTTTCTCCCTGTAGGTAAAGCTGAATGGGAATGCAAATTATAATTAGCTGCTTGGTGAACCTGAAATCAGAGGAAAGAATTAGTTGGATCACCTTATGACAGACTTGGTATCCTGCAAGTATTCTTCCCCCTAGGCATGTATCTGGGATCAGGAAATTCATTCCTTGGTAAAACCATTATTAAATTTGATCTCTGAATTATCTCTTCCCTCCCATCCCCTTTGCCCCCTTGAAGTGCCCTTTTTATAGATCCAATCTGCAGCCCATCTTCTTTCTCTTGGGACATTCTTGCTTTAGACTGAGGGGATGCAGTTTAGTTTGAGGCTATGTATTGATTGCCTTGATTGGATTTGGGATGTTTCCACTCTGAATTTATTTCTTTATTTTAATTCTTGCTAACCTTAGTTTGGGGTGTTACTTTGCTGTTGTGTATGCCCTGCAGGTACCAATCTACATTTCTCCTTGTTAATATGAGTGACAGATTCCAGTCGCCAGAGTTCATTTTTTCCATTGTCCTGCAGTCTTTGATTACCTGTAGGAGGCAGTATAACACAGTCTGTAACAGCATTTTTGGATTTAAGGTTGGGGGGACCTGAGTCCTAATCATCTTTCTTGCCAGGAAAAACTTAGTTTCCTCGTGTATGCAAAGCATATGTGCCAGCACATAATCACTTAGTAAATGAGAACTATTTTATCATCCTTATTTTCTTTGCAGATAAGTGTAACAAGATGCTTTTGTGTGGCCTGGTATCTCTCATGTCTCAGTGTTACCAATTTTATCAGTTTGGAAGCCACTTTATCTCATGGAATCACACTGATTCTAGAGAGCAAACGAGTTCCCTTTTTCATACCTTCAGAGACGTTGGTCATCCAGTTCTTTGAACATTCTGAGACTTTCTCATCATACATGTAATATTTCTCAGCTTCATAAAAAATACCTTACATTAACTTTCTCCTGTCTTAAAATTTTGAAATGAGAGTTAATGGAGTTCTTCAGGCCAGAATTCAGTTTGAGACAGGGGTAAGTTCACTCCCTTTATTACACATACACACACACACACCCCTACCTTTTTTTTTTTTTTTAAGTTTTAAGGAGGCCTGTTTTTTGAGAGGAGTGTGGCCAAATCTTAGTATGTCACTAAGAGTTACTATTCTTATTTTTTCTATAAGTAAGAAAAGTTCTTATTCATTTCATGGTGGTAACCAAAACATTATAGCACCTTCTTAAAATGTTTGATACTCTTTTGTTAATTGGATGCTGGTTGTTGAGGACTCCAGGGAAGAGTCTAAATAAGCTTTCAGAATCTGTTCTGGATCTTCTATTTCAAAGAGATCCCTGTATTCTTTATAAGGATGTGTGAGTAAGGGATAGCATATAATTTGTGTTTTGAGTAAAAACTGACTGTGCCTTCATAAAATCAAGTTCAATAATTAGCTTATAGAGGAGTTGACCATTTGGTCTAGAGGACTTTTAAATTGCTTTAACAGTGATTATACCATTGTATGTTGGTTCAGATAACTTTCTATCCACTTGTGAAATTTCATAGCCTAAATCACACATTCTGCCAACCCTTTCCAGTTTACTAACCCTGAGACATGCACTCAGATGTATTGGTGTTATAAATTTATTTAACCTTTCCAGAAAGTAAAATGCTGAATTCAGATCAGTGGTCTGTTTGAAATTACTAAGTGGAATGTGTTGAGGTCAGCAACTAAAGCACAGGTGAAACAACTCTTCCATTCTTTTTTGAATTTGACAAAAATATGGCTCAAGATTTATTGTTTTAACAATTTAGGAACAAAAATTTGAAGAACCTTTCACTAAGGAGATAATAAAGATGGGTCTATGGCCCATTAAATAAATGTTTTGTAGAATAATATTTATATAGGTTCTCACATTCATTGTGTTTGATTTTGTAATCATTATTGAAAGGGGACTATAATTCTGGGTAGAGAAGTAAATACTAATTATCTGTTGGTTTTTATCTAAATAGTATTTTATTATTTATGGATTGACTGCAGATGATCTCACTGTTTGCAACTGAAGTTATCTCTACCACTGTCTCCCACAGAAGGGTGGTGTCAATTTCTGTACAAATTGGTGGCGTTATCTAGCTCCCCCAGCTAGAATGCTAAAGAGCCTGTGATTCTTTTTTTCCTAACTTCCCACAATCTAGTTAATCACTCAAGTTCTGATTTTACCTCTCATATATTTCCAGATTCTGCCTTACCACTTCTCCCCCTATTATTAACATTATTTGTGTTCCCTAAAGCCCTTGTTTATTGCAAGTATGTTGCACTATTAACAGTTGCTTCCCTTGTTCAGAGTATCTCCAGTCCTAGTCCCCCGGTTTTTTTGTTTTTTTGGGGGGTGGGGTATATACCCTTAGCGGAAACCGAACCCGAGACTCTGGTCTGCAGGCCGTCGCTCCAACCGCTGAGCCAAACCAGCCAGGGCTCCCCCAGTATTAATCCTCCACTTAGCTGCCAGTCATCTCTTCTGCTAATCAAATCAGATCAATCTGTCTCCAAAGCTCTATTAGACAGCTATAGCAGTAGTTCTTAATCTTGTTGGGGATTGTAGTCACTTTTGATAATCTGATGAGAGCAATGGACACTTTACCTCAAAATGTAAGTGCACTTTGCACATCTTGGGTTTTTTGGATCGCCTTGAAGTTCTTTATAAAGCTGTAATTGGAAGGATACTGTAGACGATTTTGGTTCTTTTTCTCACACTATCTGGTTTGCTTGGAATGGGTATCCTTCCACCCTACTCTTGCATCCTTTAAGGTTCTGCTTAAGTCATTCCTCCAAAAAGCATCCCCCCCCATCCGGAAAACCTGGATTAGATTCGCCTCCTGTCTGCTCACATAGGACCCTTGTCATATTCTTCAGTACCTGAGTAGTCTTGCCCACTAGTGATAACTTTTTGTCTTTAGTATAAGAATTTAACTTATTTGGTTCAGCAAATACTATTGGCCATTTACTTGAGTTGTTTCACCCGAATCCTCAAGTAATACTTCCGTTGGAGAGGACACATGCTCTTGGCTTGTAAACCATTGGTTGTCAAGGGCATATTTAATAGGTGCTTCCAAAACAGTTCAGTGCTCTAATCAGTAGTGAAAAAGAAGTTGCTAGTGTTCCTTGTAAAAGCAGAGAACATTACTGTTCTTATACAATAGTAATGAGAAAAAATAGTGGTTGAATAGTTGTGCTTGATTTGTATAGTTTGTGTTAAAATAGAATGGGTACTTGTTTTGGTGCATAGACTTTTGTCTGAGTTATTTTTAAAAATTAGGACATTTGGTCTGATAATGGCAGAGAATTTCAGAACTTGGGAGTAGCCCAGGAAATTGAGAACACAGTGACCAAGAGCCTAAAATGATTGCTACAGTTAGACATAGCCACCTCCTTCCTACAGTGTCCAGCTGCTTAATGTGTAAACTTGAAGCAGTTCTTGACCTGCAAATACTAATTCACTGCAAAGTATTTTATTTTAATTTTAAATAATTCTCAATTCATGTTCCTATTTTATATTTCAAGAATAACAATACATGTTATTCTATAAATAAGATCTGGCTGATCCTCATTCAGATGTTTCTTATACTAGCAGTGACTTGCACCAAGCTCTTCATGCTTTCCTCTCAGTACTTGGGTTGTGAGCACTTCATGGTGATTACTAACATTAGTGTACAGTCAGCCCTCTGTGCCTGCAGGTTCTGCATTCTCCCGTTCAACCAACCTCGGGTCAAAAATGTTTGAAAAAAACATTATGTTGTTGCTGACAGTGTACTATGGAGTTAGGTCTGTCATGGTTGAGTCTGTATTGAAGATGTGTGGACTTTTTTCTTGCCACTATTCCCCCTAAACAACACAGTATAACAACTGTTTACACAGCATTTCTATTGTAGTGGGTATTATAAGTGATCTGGAGATGATTTAAAGTACAAGGAAAGATATGCAAGTACTACCCATTTTATATGAGGGACTTGAGCATCAGGAATTTTGGTCGGGGGTCCTGGAATCAACCCTGTGAATACAGAAGGGTGACTGTATTTGATTAGTGCTTTTTGAAAAGTTTATATTGGTGCTGATATTTGTTTTCTTGGTTTGGGGGCTTTAAAAAGTAAATAAAATTTAATATTAATGTTTTCCATTCACTTATAGGAATCAGAAATACCTTCAGAAGAGGGATACTGTGACTTTAATAGTAGGCCAAATGAGAACTCTTATTGCTATCAACTTCTTCGACAACTAAATGAACAGAGAAAGAAAGGTATTCTTTGTGATGTCAGCATTGTGGTGAGTGGAAAAATCTTTAAAGCTCATAAGAACATCCTGGTTGCAGGCAGCCGTTTCTTTAAGACTTTATATTGCTTTTCAAACAAAGAAAGCCCTAACCAAAACAATACTACCCATTTAGATATTGCTGCAGTTCAAGGTTTTTCAGTCATCTTGGACTTCTTGTATTCTGGTAACCTGGTGCTTACAAGCCAAAATGCCATTGAAGTGATGACCGTGGCCAGCTACCTTCAAATGAGCGAAGTTGTTCAGACTTGCCGAAATTTCATTAAAGATGCCTTAAATATAAGCATTAAATCCGAAGCTCCAGAGTCTGTGGTTGTGGACTATAACAATAGAAAACCAGTTAATAGAGATGGTCTGTCTTCATCGCGGGATCAAAAAGTTGCCAGTTTTTGGGCAACACGGAATCTTACCAATTTGGCAAGTAATGTAAAAATTGAAAATGATGGTTGTAATGTCGACGAGGGCCAAACAGAAAACTACCAAATGAATGACAGTAGTTGGGTCCAGGATGGTTCACCTGAATTGGCTGAAAATGAAGCCCAAGGTCAAACAAAAGTGTTTATTTGGAATAATGTTGGCTCCCAGGGAATTCAAGAAACTGGCAATAAAACAAGGAGGAAAAATCAGACTGCAAAGAGATTTATTTATAATATACCACCTAACAATGAAACAAATTTAGAAGATTGCTCAGTGATGCAGCCAACTGTTGCCTACCCAGAAGAAGATATGTCATTCATTAAGGAAGAACCAGGTACGTATTATACATACAAAGCTATTTCAGTTTTCATCTAATTCTGGTGGGATATAATGTTGAAGTATACTTAAAAAATTTTTTTTCATTATAAAAGCAGTGCACGTAAGTAATATTAAATTTGAATACTTAGAGTAAAAGAAGGGGGGAACTACTCAAGCACATAATTTTGTTGTCTTTTCTCTAGGCATGTAGATGTGGGTTTCCCAAAGGCTGTGTTAATATCAGGCATTTGCTTGCATTGTGTGGCATGCGGATTTACTCAATGTATAGTTTGACTTTCCTGATATTTGGACTCTGCCCACTTTTTGCACCCTTTGCTGGAAAAGATGAACTCTTTAGTGGTAATATATCATTTGTCATTTCAGAACATTTTGAGACCTAGTTAACATCCTTTACTCTTCACTTTTCGGGGGAGTAAATTAAACATTTGCAAGTGTTTTATAGAATTTTCAAATGGTAGTGGGATTACTCTAATTTGTTTAGAGTTGCAGTTCTCACAATATATCTTAACAGAAGCTGAGATATTTTGAATTTTTCCTACTCTTACCTCATTTTCATTAGGTAAGAGGGGCTGCTGAGACTTTTTTCAATATATCCAAAGGAGTATAAATTCTAGCAGATCACATTTGTTGTGTAGGTTTTTTAAAGAATGGGGTAGGGCCCTGCCCGGTTTGGCTAAAGCGTTGGCCTGCGGTCCAGAGAGACCCGGGCTTGGTTTCTGCTAAGGGCACATACCTCAGTTGCAGTTTGTCCCCAGCCCTGGTGGGGTCGTGCGGGTGGCAACCACTCGATGTGTCCCTTTCATGTCAATCTCTCTCTTTCTCTCTCTCCCCCTCCCACTCTATCTGAACGAAAAAAAAAAGGAAAGAAAAAATGGGGTAGGGGGTATTGTTGAAGAGTGTAAATAGATTGAGGCTTTCCTTAACATAAACATAATTGAATTGTCTCTATCTGACTTAATTTTATTTGAAGCAGCAGCCTGGTGGTTTGCGGTTTTCTGTGCAGACCCCAGACTTGTCCAGCACAGGCATGTGTAGTGATGCTTGCTTTGCCCTGAAGCTCTGTAACTAACTGTTCAGTGTCTGATTTCCATGATGGTGATCATCTGGGGATGGAATACTTTCTGTTAAAAAGAATTACTGTTTTTATTTCCTTTTCCCTTTGGGAAAGGGCAAAGTGTCATAGTAATCCTGTGAAATGGTTCTTCTGGCTTTTTAGGTTTGGATTTAGTTTTCGTCGGTAGATATTTTAGTTGTTTGAAAATCCGTAGGCGAATATAATAAACACTGTTTTGCTGCTCTTCTCCATCATACTTATCAACATAAGTCTTTAGCTATAAAAACTTCATAGGCAGTTTCTCTCAAGTAGCAGCACTTCATTTTGGCTTAAATTTTTTTTAATGTGGAAGACCTTGAAGCTGTGGTCAAAATGTAGAGTTATGCCCTGGCCCATATGGCTCAGTGGTTTGAGTGTCGGTCCACACACAGAAGAATTGCTGGTTTGATTCCAGGTCAAGGGCACATACCTGGGTTGCAGGTTCAATCCCCAGCCCAGTAGGGGAGCAGTAGGAGGCAGGCAATCAATGTGTCTCTCTCACATCCATCTTTCTCTCTCTCTCTCTCTCTCCCTCTCCCTCTCCCTCCCTCCCTCGCTTCCCTCCCTCTCTGTCTCTCTCCTCCTCTCACCCCTTCCTTCTTCCCTTCCACTCTAAAACATCAGTGGAAAAAAATATCCTCAGTTAAGTATTAACTACAACAAAAAGTAGAGTTACATTGTTTTTCTGTGGCACGGATTGTTTAATAGTATGGTGGGAACCATTATAGTGGTTTTTTTTCCCTTTTTTTTTGCAGAAAGAGGAAGGGAGAGAGAGAAACATTAACATGAGAGAAAAACATTGACTGCCTCCGCACGCCCCCCACTGGGGATCAGGCCTGCAACCCAGGCATGTGCCTTGACAGGGAATCGAACTGGGACCCCTCAGTCCATGGTGCAACACTCAGATGCACTGAACCGCACTGGCCGGGCTATAGTGTTTTTCTAAATACATTACTGTACATGCACAATTTAAAGAAGCAGATTTCCTGGGTGGTAGCTGATTGGCAAAACTAATCAAAGGTAGACTCATTCTTAAAATTAATTCCACGTAAAATTGGAATGATCCAAAGAAAAGGAAAGCACTGATATTGCCCCACAATTTCTACTTTTTAAAAAAAGATTATCACTACTGGTTATCTTAGCAAGCATCTCTAGCTAAGGTTGTATTGATACAAGCATGTATTAATTTTTAGCAAATATACTTTTAATTTATTTTTAATCTTACAATTGAAGTTGGTATCTGAACATTGCTTAGCTCACAAATTTGGTTCTATCAGCAATGTGCGCTACAATTTTTTAGTGCCTCTAAATCCCACTTCATTTAGTGGTAGGAAATGGGTCTCATAAGAGTATTGATAAAGAGCGAGGGGTTGGCAAATTTTCACTGTAAAGGGCCAAACAGTAGTAAATATTTTTGCCTTTGCTGGTCATGAGGTCAGTTACTTAACTCTGCCATTATCGCATGAAAGCAGTCATAAACAGTATGGAAACAAATGAACATAGACGTGTGCCAGCTCTTGGTATAGAGCAGTGGGTGTTAACCATGCCTGTATGTTGGCATCACTCAGAACTGTCTTGGGTCTCTCCATTAGGGGCTCGATTTAAGTGGTCTGGGATGTGGCCTGGTTGGTGGGATTTTTATAAGGTATACAGGTGATTATAGTGGTAGCCAAGGTTGAGATCCACTGAGAGAAGAAAAAGCCCAGGTAGATTCAAGATTTGAAAATGAGCTCATCTATTTACCCACTAAGTGACCATGATCAAATTAAGTTAACTCTTGCCCTCAGTCTTCTCATATTTCATATATGGCATATAAAAATAAAACAATTAGCATGGTCATTTTAATCCTCCCTTAATGTTGGAAGATTGTTGAGGTTATTTAAAATCAGTTTTCCAGTGCAGTGTACTTTCCACCAAATTCTGGATACGATGGTCTTATAATTTCAGCCTGACTTTCTGTTTGACTACTTATTTATTTATCTAATAAGAACATAGATAGATAGATAAATAAATAAGTAGTCAATCTATCTACCTATCTATCTATCCTCACCCAAGGACATTTTCCCATTTTTTGTTCAGATAGAGTGGGAGGGAGAGAGAGGAAGAGAGAGAGAGAGAAACATCGACGTGAAAGGGACACATCGAGTGGCCGCCACCCGCATGACCGACCAGGGCCGGGGACAAACTGCAACCGAGGAATGCGCCCTTAGCGGGAACCGAACCCGGGTCTCTCTGTACCGCAGGCCAATGCTCTAACCGCTGAGCCAAACCAGCCAGGGCGACTACTTTTTTTAAAAAAAATTTTTCTTTATTGATTTTAGAGAGGAAGGTAAAGGGAGAGAGTAACATTGATGAGAGAGAACATCGACTGGCCGCCTCCCACATGTCCTTCTCTGGGGATTTGGCCCACAACCTGAGCATGTGCACTGAGCCGGAATGGAACTGGTGACCTGTTGGTGCATGGGTTGAAGCTCAGCCAATGAGCCACACCGGCTGGGATAGAATACTTTTTAAGCAGCCTATTCCAATATAGAATGACTATGATTATTAGGAAGTTATTTTATATTGAGCCAAAATTTGCTTTGCTTTAAATTCCTAATTCTGTGGCATGGATTGTTTAATAGCATGATGGGAACAACACCATAATGTTCTGCCATCTTGGGTAGTTTAATCTGAGTGTAATCTCTAATCAACCTGATAACCCTTCAGATATTAGGCACTTAAAAATTTTTCATGAAGTCTTCTAGGCTAAGTGCTATACCTCCCACCTTGTGGCTTCTTAAGTGATAGACATGACATGGCTTGTTTCACCTGGAGATAGGTGAAAAGACTTGACTACAATTCTTCAGGCAAGTTCTGACCAGTGCAGGACACAGTGGGTCTGTGTTTACCAAGGGGAGGGCTTCTCAAGGTCATTCAGCTAGCAGATAAGAGAGGCAGGTTTCATGTTTGTTAAGACTGTCTAGTAGACTGGTCTTTTAAAAAATGAGTCCCTTTTAGAACTTCAGACATCTTTATGAACCGAACCCATCATTGATTATACTACTTTCCTTTCAGTTTATTGCGGAAATAGTGAGTTTTCAGTGAAATAAACGCTTTCAATTGAATATTAGGTCCTATACCTAAATGTCTGGAGAGTTGTGAATTCTTTACTTAGTCTCCAAGCAGTGCTTGGCATATTTGGATTTCTGGATCCCTTGTAGAAAAAGTGATGTCCCCAGATTCTTAAGCTATAGTTTATAAACCACAGTTCTAAATGTCTTTTTGCCACATAATGTAGTGCTTGGATGCCTCAAAGAAATGTTATAAGATATTGAGATAAGAAGATAATACCCTGGCCTGTTTGGCTCAGCCATTCTAGAGGCCTGTGGACCAATGAGTCAAGGGTTTGATTCTGGTCAAGGGCGCGTGCCTCAGTTGCGGTTCAGTCCCCAGCCTGGTTGACCTCCTGTGGGAGGCAACCAGTCAATGTGTCTTTCTCTCTTTCCCTCCCTCCCTCCCACTCTGTCTGAAGAAAAAAAATGAAAAATGTCCTGGGGTGAGGATTAAAAAAAAAGTATATCCACAAATATCAGGGATTTTTTTCAGATGGTATTTTCAATCTTTGGCTAGCATATCTGTTATTCGACTCACTACTGAGATTTTCTTTGAATCATTTGATGTTTGAGGATACTTGAGAGTAGATAGGAAAGGTTAGAAACTTGTCATTTTTATTGTTTTATAGGATAATTAAAACCAACATTTAAAACTAAATTCTGGGTAATAAAACAGGAAAAAGCGTCAGTTGAGCTGATAATGTAAAAATTTCAAACCCTTGTTTTGCTGACTTATAACCAGAAAACAAATTTCAGGCAAATAATAGTAAATAAAAATAAAATAATTTAAATTATAGGAATAACTTA